TAGTATCCTTAAAGATTCTAACCCCAATATTATCCCAATCTTCCCCTCTTTTGGTCTAGTTTCCCGAACTGTACTTAGTGATTAGTATCCTAGGAACTCTTAATTTGGAAGCACGTTTGCAGTGTTTTTAGATGCTTTGCATGACCGTTAAGTAGGAATTGCCCTTCCATTCGGCTTGGTACTGGATTCTGCTTTATATGGTAAACATCTTTGTTCAGAGGGAAAGAACTATTTAAAGCCGATCCTTTTTAATTACCAATGACCCAGACATGCTTCAAGTTATGCACAGTGTCCACCACACGCATTGTGAACGAGGGTGTAGGTTTGTTAAACGGGCCGTACTGGATCATTGAGCATGCCTTTAACAGATTTGTAAGTACTGTTTCATGGGGAACCAGAAGCTTCGGTGCATAATCCGCAACCTCCCTTCACGATTTGTATCGTAGGGTCGACCTTCGACTTTAATCGATAACCTACCTTGTAGATTGGTATCCTACCTTCAGGTGCGCTTCTCAGATGCGAACTACCATTGTCGAGTCCTTTCGCTCCGGATAACAAGAGGAGAGGCTACCGCTATGGAAGAGTCTGTTAACTCCAGCCCTACCAACAGCATGGACGGATCGTCGTCGAGTCATTGAATGGCAACAAGAGGAGGAGGCTACTACGCGACAACACATAAGAGAGTGGATCCTCCTACAGGATTCACCCCTCCAGTGTTATTTCCTAGTGATTTGGTGGTGATTCCTGTGTCGGCACCCATTTTCCTGCAAGCACAAGTCCTCGAGCGACGCGACCAGCGACTTGTCCTCTTTCGTACGATAGATGTATGTAACTAGACTAGTAAGATAATAGAACGCCGATTACCAACCAATAGACCACCCTTTCATTAGATAGACACCTTATAGATCGATAGCAGAGCTAGGTCCAGGTTTGTTTCGCCCTTGGATGGCAATCAACAAGCTTATCTTATAGATCCATAAGGGTCGTTACCGATCTGTATCATAGGTCGACCTTACCCTTCCGTTTGATACTTAAGGTACCTTGTAAATTCATTCATTCTTACCTTCAGGTGCGCTTCTCAGATGTACGATAGCTGGCTACGATGGCTGGATTGACAATGTTCGTTGTGCATGTATTTGTCATAAGGATCCAATGCAAGGTACCGGTAACGGAGTGTAGCCAGTAAAGCGGAACCTGAGTGTGTTCGGTACTGTTGCCACTGTCACCGATTGATGTAACTCTACGGTAACTGGCTACAATGGCTGGATTGACAATATTCGGTTGTGCATGTATTCGTCATAAGAATCCAATGCAAGGTACCGGTAAACGTAGCGAGCAAAGCCGAACTTTCGGTACTGTTGCCACTGTCGTCGATGTAGCTATACCGCAGCCGGCTACAATGGCTGGATTCACAATGTTCGGTTGTGCATGTATTCGTCATAAGGATCCAATGCAAGATACCAGCAACGGAGTGTAGCCAGCAAAGCGGAACCTGAGGCTGAGTGTGTTCGGTGCTGTTGCCACTGTCACGGATCGATGTAACTCTTTGCCTACGGTACCGTGGCTGGCTACAATAGCTGGATTGCATGTATTCGTCATATGGATCCAAGTAGCGAGCAAACTGAGGAAACAGGAGACGAACGCTGAAAAAAAGCCGAATTTTCACCTTTTGCCACGAGGATACTAGCTATACATTTTCACCATGACAGAGGACACCAACGAAGCCACTGCTACCGAGTCCGTTGACAATCCTGATGCTGTAGAGCAGGGAGAGGAAGAAACGAAAGGAAAGAGAGCCAAGACAGATGGAGAACGAGGTGGTGAGACACGACAACCCGCCAAGAAAAAGCAGCGAACCGAGAAGTCATTTGCAGATGATTTGATCTGTTGCATCAGCCATGAGTTGCCATGGGTACCCGTCACAGCTATGGATGGGCGTGTCTACGAGCGCAAGTGTATTGAGGCTTACATGGAGCGGAATCCTCATGATCTCAAATCGCCCGTCACTCGTCAACCCATGGGGCCTGACGCTCTTGCCGGCCATCCAGCACCGCAGCATGATTGAGACGGCAATTGAGAAGGGGGAGATGCCTGAAGATCTGACCAAAGAATGGAATGAAAAGGTCCAGCAAAAGAATAAGATGGAAAAAATGATGAAGAAGGCCGAAGATGGTGATGCACAAGCGATGTATGACGTAGCCATCAATTATGAACGGGGCACTGCTGTGGTTGAGCAAGACATCAAATTAGCCTTCCAATGGGTCGAGAAAGCACATTGTGCAGGGAGTGTGATTGCAAAAGCAGTATTGGGTAAATATTATCTGGCAGGTGCAATCTTCATGGTGAGGAATAGGTTGAGGGTAGCTGAAAGCTATTGTGTTTGTTAACAAAATGCACTACGCTAAAGCTAGTGTAAAGATCTTTCGAGTGTTTTGAGTTTGAGAGAATGGAAGTTATGAGAGGATTAGAAAGCTATGAAAACTAATCAACGAGAGAGATCCACAATCAAAGGATCGTAGATCTGAACTCCCGCGGGAGACTGTAGAGTGTGATAGAGTAGGTTGCGGTAGCAATCCTACTCACTCCACGATCCAAAAACGGAACGCGTGGAAGATTCGTCTAGCATTTATCTAGTAGCGTGGAATCTCTCCACGCCAGCTAATTATCTAGCGCGATGTTTCACCATCGACCTAGTATGACTAGCGGTCATGAGAACCCTGTCTCAATGACTATTCACGAAAGACTCAGTCATGAGTCGAACTCAAACCCTATCTAGGATCGAGTCGCGAATAAGGCTAAGAGCCGTGTATTGCACAAGGTTCAGCCTGGGCCGCACACGTTTTGGGAATGGTACTTGCCAGAGGCAACTACGGAGTGGTTGTGGATAAATCAGTCGCCATATTTTGGCTCGAGAAGGCTCTTGGCGAATGTGCTTATAAGGATATGTCAGATAGTCAGAAGAAGGAATGTGAGGAGCTGCTGAATGAGCTCAAAGCCAACGATAGCAGCTCCAGCTAGATTGAAGATTCTCTTTGGTAAATAGATACAATAGTACACGTAACTAGCTAATTATAGAATGCTAGTTTCTATGACACTACCGTCGTTGTTGTTCTCTATGCCATCAAATTCTGTTGTCTTTAGTGAACTCCACGACGTTAGTAGAGCATTTTTTTAAAAGGTACCGGTACAGTGCCATCTCGCCTCCTCCTTCCACCCCTTTGTTGCTTCTACTATGGATGTCATGCTGGAGCGCTCCTCAATCCAAATTCTCTTACAACGCTTTGCCAACATATTCTTGTAAAGTCTCAAAGGATGGATTTTCCTCCAGACCCACACCTCAATATATAGCCGCCCTCGTTCATTTATGTTTCTGTGGCTGGATTCCACAAATTCAATCCCTTTTTGGCCCCCGTGTTGGTCATGGATTATTTGGGGCCCTTGATCACAATGTCTTGGAACCTAGCTAGTTGTCCCGAATGCCGCCTCTTCTTTGCCCAAGCATGACCCCTGTCGGCTTTCCGTCGATAAACTTCGCACCGGTACTCTAACCCCGTCTCTTTTAAAATTGAGTTAAGCTTGCGAGCATACATAGGTACCAGCCACACTGTTTGGTGCCCACTGGCAGCAGTCCATACGTAGCATGGTACTAGTAGCTCCAAGACTGCCTTTGTTGCACCTGCTTCAAAACCTTAGGCCGGTCTCTACCGGAGCGACTAAAGTAGCAACTATGCCATATTTTGTAGTTTAGTCCATAGTTTAGTCTCTTGGGGTGGTGTCTACCCAAGCGACTAAACGTCATACGGACTAAAGGCTTTAGTCAAAACTCTCGTTCACCGACTAACTGGAGCCTGGTTAGTCAGTGAGCGAGCGTAAGGACTAAAGCTTGTTTAAGAACAGCAAATAATAAATTCAACAGAAAACAATACAACTGCATGCCACCGAGTTGGATAACAAAATCAGCCTAATTGCACAGCCTCACTATCAGAGCATCGCGACAGAGCTGATAGAGTAGAGGTGCAAACGATCGAACGATCCAAGGGGTGCAAAGGATCCAACGATCGAATGATAGTAGAGTTCCACAATCGAGTGATAGTAGAGGTGCAAACGATCGAATGAATGATAGTAGAGGTGCGATCGAACGATCCAATGACAGTAGAGGTGCGATCGAACGATCCAATGATAGTAGAGGTGCAAACAACAGAGGAGAGGTGCATCGCAATGGTGTGTTTTGAGTCTTGTTATCTCAAAAAAAGTAATCACTTCTATTAAGTCTTTGTTTGAGTCCTTTAAATCCACCATGCTGATAGAATATTGGTAGCCCACCAAGTGATCACTTTCGTTATATCTTTTTTGAGTCCTTTAAGTCCAGTAGTGTTCCGTTTAGTCATTTGTTTAGTGCTGGGTAGACAGGTCCCAATGACTAAAGAACTGACTAAATTGTTTAGTCCGAGATTTAGTCATCTGCTGGTAGACACCACCATTACTAAAGCACCATTACTAAAGGATAATGACTAAATCTTGAACTAAACAACCACCTAAAGGATTCCTTTAGTCGGTCCCTTAGTCGCTCAGGTAGAGACCGGTTCAGCCAAAGCTCATGCGTTGCTTCCCTGGCCACCAAAGATAGCTTCTTTCCCTCCTTGCTGCCTTACCTCTACTGTATGTACTAGGCGGGACTGGCCAATGCTGCTTTGGAAACAATCTGGTAGTTCGGGTAAATTTGGGGCTAAAGATATTATTTACTCTACCCATTTCTATGCAAAATTGGATTTACCGTATCTACCTACGTTCCAAATGCTGGCTTCAACCCAAAAACGCGGACAAACGCGGAGTTGTGCACAAATAAAAGGCAAGCCTCACTTTTTCTTGAACCTGGAAAGGATTCGATTCGAATGAAAGCAAATCAAATCGGATCATTCATTCGCCACTGTCTATCCACCATGCCCCCCTTTGAACAAGACCAAGACGCCACTACTGTGTTGGACAACAGTGTCAAGATGTCGTTGAGTAGTGTTGAAGAAGGAGCTACCAGTGGTAGTACTGCTAATCAAGGAGAAGGAGGAGAAGAAGAGTACCGTCGCCGGTGTCGTCATTTTTATCGTCAATCGACGAGTGTGGACGATGATTTCACGAGTTTGGACGCTGATGATCAAGATGATGATGCGTATGTGGATGAAGAAGAAGCGACCCGCCAACATAGCAGCAAAAAGACGGACGAAGAGAATCGGTTAGTGTTGGAAGCGGTGGACCAAATGAGCGACGCGACGTCCTATTCCGCCTTTTTGGCCAATTTGACTCCGGAGCAATTGGTCGTCTTATGCTCGTGCGGATTGCCCACTTCTATCACTACTAGTAGTAGTACATACGACGCTACTAGAGAAAAATGGGTTCAAATTCGAACGGAAGAACGTCAATTGGCGCATCAAGTGAATATGAGAGAACGATTGCACAAATTGGAATCCATTTTGCAAGAATTTCTACTACAACAGCAACCACAACAACAACCACAACAACAGCAACAACAACCACAAGATGACAATGACTCCTTTCTGACAACCCGCCAACAAGTGATTATGATCAAACAGACGCTCCGATTGTTTGTCCACAACTACCACGCCGACTGTATTGCGTCGCATTCGCTCATGGCCGGCATGCGACACATTCTGGAACTTCAATTGGACAAGAACGAAGATGCTCCATGCATTGTTTGGACGTTTGATGCCAATGTCATTTCCGAAGCCATTGTCGCACAAACCCAAGGAGCTTCTTCTGCCTATATAAAAGAGGCACTACACGCACTATTGGTCTTTTTGGTATATCAAGAACCTCAAAAAGATCCAGAACACAACAACAACAATACTCATCAACGCATGCTACAATTCGCCGTGGAACCATCGCTCAGTGACAAGACACTCACACAAATTCTACAAGTATTGCCACGACCACATGAATTGCATGCTCGGCCCACGGGAAAATATAACACTCCGGCACAAGGATTGGTTCGTACCAATGTCGATGGAGAATTGGATGAACCCATGGATGTCTGTTCCCTGATTGTCAAAAATTTACGAAAACGGGGGTGGTGGTTCTAATTACTGAACTTTAGTACCAGTAGTAGTAGAAGCAACAAGCAAACATGCAACTACAACAAGCAACAGGAAAAAAGAAAAAATACAACAAGGCAAACAGGAAAATATATTAGAAACAAAAACTACACACACGAGGAAAAAGGACACACGCACACCAACTCGGAAACAAAATCAAACTCAATGATGATCATTGAGTTGCAATACACAAATCAAAATCAAAATCCACGAAAGACAATCACAACAAGGGAGGAAAATTCTAGAGATGGAACAAATGAATATTATATAATCTATTTTTACTACAACGGAACCATGCAAGTAGGTTGGCTTGTACGTCTCATGATCCAGGTGATAGGGCGTCGCCAAGAACTCACTGCTGGAGGTTCAGATAGGTGATAGCCAGCTTCATCTACCTACCGTACACTATGGACGTGAACCCGGCGTCGCCAAATTTGTCAGATTGTGCAGTGACATCTGGAGTTTTCCCGGACATGCACCGTTCCCGACGCGACCCCAAAGACCTGCCGAACGGGTACGGTACTGTCGGACCAACTCGAGGAAGAACGTTAGTACTGCAGGACCCAGCCACCTACCGGTACCCCCTACAGGTCCATCCTCTCGATCTGGGCCAGCACACCTAAACTCCTTTGAAAAGCTTCCGACCCAAAAGGTTGGGCACGGTACCGCATCATTGTGCAATAGAGTAGTAAGCATCTACAGCATGCAATGTTTCAACGGAGCCCGGAGTTTGAGCATGCAGCTACCCAGCCCCCTAGCTAGCCACAACAACTACAAAGCAGTCAGGCCCGGATGCATTCCATTTTCTTCCACAAGGCTTCGCCACCAGGACAATGCTGACATGCATGTTATTAAAACCTCATAGTACCATAACAAAAAAGCGTCTGAACAAAGTAGCTAGATTTTACTGAGACAGCCCAGCTCACAAAATGCCAAATTGCTAAAACATACGGTAGGATATATTGTAGTGTAGACTCTGTGGTACCTGGTGTTTGGTTGCTTGGCTTGTCTTTTTCACCGCCCATGGGAATCATCATTGCTTGGGCTATGAATGTTGGATTGTGTGGACATGCTGGGTAGATTTGGTTGCAGGAGCTGGTTAGCTTCTCTGGCGGCTGAGTCGCTGGAGTGTTTCATGATGGCAAGTTGCTCCCTAGCTACCGGTACCGGTACTGCAGTCTATGCAGTGTCGTGTCCCAAAGGTGTTGACAGCGCTGATTGGTTGCCTTGCCGCCCATACTAGCTAGAGACGCCAAATGAATCTGTTCCTTTGAAGGCCGCGGGTGATGTCTTTGGGTTCAAAGTTTGGAGTGGAGAATATGGTTGAAATCTCATCCAGCCTTCGGGGTGCCCTTTTAAAAGAGTTGATTGAGAGTTGATAGTACCGTACGGTAACACCTCACAGAAACTAAGGTACTGCTTAGTACCGGCACGCACCATCTATTTAACTAGTACTATGAGGTGGACTGGTCTGCCTTGACTTTTTGCAATGGTAGATTTTCTTTATACAGGTTGTTTTTACTACCATGCTAAGGCTGTGTATGTACTGTACAGTGGGTTTCGTAACCTCTTCGTTCTTCTGCCTCCATCTATTCCTAGTCTATGGCCCTCTCAGTGGTCCAATGGATGTTGCGGTACCTTGTCGACGTGGCATGCGAGGAATCGATGATGGCGAGTATTCGATGGATGCCGGAGTGTTCGTTCGCAAAGGCTGGCGAGGGGCTAGGGTTTGGTGGCGAGATGACTTGGCTTTGCGGAGCAGTGCCGTCAGGGAATTGGTACTGCTCTTATCTTGTAGGGGCTTGGTAGGTGGGCATTTCTCGCAGGATGCTGCTCCATTCGAAGACCATCGTTCGTTGCTGGGATGGAACAAATGGGAGGATATTGACAATGAGGAGGAGGAAGAAAAAGAAGACAGTTTTCGTTCCAGGCGTTCATCCAGAGACATGGTCGGAATCACAATGAAACTGGGGATATTATTCAGTCGAATTTCTTCTTCTGCTGCTGTGATGGGAACAGCGGGGGCACTGTTGGTGACAACAAAGTAGCTGGGAATATCCATCTTCTTAGCTTGGTACCGGTATGGTGGAAGGAGCAAAGGGGCTTTGTAGAGGATTACTAATCTTGTTGGTTTGAAAGAATCTGATGTTTGAAATTGTGAGAGATCAGAGAGAAGCAGGAAGACGATCGAACGATCGAAGGTTGGAGCAGGAAGCAGGAGAATTGATGGTTAACAGCTTGGTTAACTAACTCGAGGAGCTCTCGAGGAATGTTCGTTTGAGTAGCTGTTTGAGCGAAGCTTCAAGCTAAAGGGAAAGTCAGCGTCGACTGTCGGTACTAGAGGAATTAGTAGCGTCTTTGGCAAGCTTTAGAAGAAGAGACCCTTTACGGCACTGAGGTCACAACCGTCTAACTCATTTGGCTGAACCAGCACCTCAAACATAAATAATTTATTGCAATAGTACCGTTTTTTGGTGGGGTAAATGTGCTGCAGCATTAAAGGTTGGTACGCGCTTCAATATTCTTTTGTGTTATTCAGAAGCGAACTTCAAGGAATCTTTGGAGCTGATTAACACTCACCAATTCCCTTGTGGCCATCGTTAAGATTACCAATAAATCATGTATTACCTTCGATGGAGAGCTTCCTTTCCGGTGAATTTCTCTGTCCCGATTTGGTACTAAACATTCACAGTACATTTTGGATGAGCATTTCATGATTTATGAGCGCTTAATGATGTTAGACCAGTGACCATTCTCGAGGAAGCCAATGCCACAAGAATTCACTGGCCATACGGTAGCTCTGGCCATTTATTTTGCGGTCCCAGAAGAGAGAAGCGGGAGCTGGCGGGAGCTCCATTATCCATTTATTTTCACTATCCGAGTACTAGTACTAGATAGCTTACTAGATCTAGCTAGTAGACTAGTCCGTACGTCCGTACCGGCATTCAATGAATGATGAATCGGATGGTCAAATTCGAGCAGTCCGTTGAATCGGATGGTCAAGTGGTCAAGTACTGCAGTCTAAGTAAGAGTGGCAGGTGGCCGGTACTCTGGAGTTGTTGGGGAGCTCTCCACCTTCCGAGAGCGGAACAACAGTTACTAACTGTGGGCATTGTTCCTTGTTTCCACGCTTCCAATTATTTCTTCTTTTCCTTCAGCGTCCACGGCATTCCAGCTGTGCAGGTGAAAATTGACATACTTTTCAATAGTTTCAACGTTTCAACTTGCTTGGTTGCAAGGCACAAGGCAAACATGTCAGCATGCAGCCGTCCGGGACAATGCTGGGAATGAGGCTATCTGTATCAGCAGTTGCACATGCCCAACACTTGGCTTCAATTTCTTCTGAATCATCAACTTGATTGGAACACTCGGATTCGCTTTAGTGCCTAGCCTTAGGACGTACTGGTAGGCCCGGGAAGCTCCAATGCTCCATGCTCCATGCTGCCTCATTGCAGCGCTGCGATTTGATCAGTCAAATTTTGATGAAACAATTCTGGCTAACTTTAATCTTTAATAATGTGCAATAAGTAAACAGACAGTAATCATAACACAAAGTCAACGCCTACTAGCAATCATGGTTCAGGCAACGATCTCTGTCTGGGGGAACTCCATCTCCGATGGAGACAAGGATGCTGGGCTCACTTCTTCAGAGGCTTCACTGGAGCGGACTCCCTTGGTTTCGGTCGCTTCTTCAAGCTTGAATGGTGCAACCTCAACCTCGTCTGTCTTGTCAACTGGCAGCCCCAATGTGATGCATTGAACCCTTAGCTGTGCCAAGACCTGAGGCCACAAGAACAACGATGCCAAAAAGTCACCAAGAGCATTGGAGCGAATGTTGTATCGGCAACGGAACCCATTGCGAAGGGATCCCAACAAAATGCTGGCTGCAAAGAAAAAGGCCCAGGCCCATCCCTTCACACCCTTGTTTCCGCCAAGTACAGCAATGAATAATCCAATCCAGGTAGCATAAAGCACTCCGTAACCAGCGGCACAGGCCATGTTGGATAAACGGTTTCGGGGGTAGGCTGCCGAGAGGACTTGATGCAAGCTGACAAAGGGAACAAAGATTCCCTTGGCGAACTCTTTCACTTGAAGGTTGTTGGGAAGGTGCATCTCACGTTCCACGCGTTGTGGATTGACATTTCCGAGACTGGCAGCGTACTCAAACACGTTGAAAACGCCACCATAGATGGGGAAGAAAAATTCTGGTTGTTGATTGGGAAGAATGTATTCACCCGTGGCCTGCTTGTCTCCTGCGTGACAAAAGACCCAAATGGATTGGCAGAGGTAGCACAGCAGAACCACATAAGGCAACCCTGCAATGACAGACCCTGCTTGAACAGCAACCAGTGCATTGGAACCACCTGCACTCAGCAAAGCAGTGGCGACAGCGCCTTCCGTCACAGCCCAGAAAAGACGCTGGATCCAGTGGTGGCGTGTTCGGCCGTTTGATGCCAAGTGGTCGACAATGAGAGACCCAGAGTCACTGGATGTAGCAAAGTAGATGGCTAAGGCAATGATAAAGATGACACTCATAAAGGGCCCCAATCCATCTCCGCTGAAGTACTCGGGGAAACTGAAACTGTAAAGGACGTTGTAAGCAGAGGCTTCAGCGTTTGAGGAGTCGAATTGGCAGACTGGAGTCACACCGGGAAGATGATTGGTAAACACGGCGGTTTCAGGGTCACCAGGGCCGTAGACGGTTTCCTGGGGTACTTCAAAGCAGAAGGAGCTTCCAGGGACGGCGAAATGAAGAGAGTTGTTGTAGATACTGGTGCCAAGGGCTTCGAGTTCAAGAGCTTGGCGTGACTGACGAAGGGCAACACCTCCCCAGACAGAGAACCACAGGATGCAATAGAGGACTGGTACAATGAGAGAGTACATGATCACCTCGCCGACAGTTCTTCCGCGACTGATGCGAGCGATAAAGAGACCGACAAAGGCAGCCCAAGCGACCCACCAGGCCTGATAAAAGACCATCCTGAAAAAGACAGAGTTACGAAAAGCAAAGCGCATGAGTCTTTAATTAGAGTTTTCAGCATTCTCCATTTTTCACTCGATGCAATGAAACATTACTTACCAGGCGTCCATCCACCAGGCTTCACTGGCTTGACTATCAACAGCACGACCCTCGCCCTCTCGCAGCTGCCCAAAGGCATCGGTCCAAAAGTTGAGTTGAAAGAGACTCCACTGCAAGTAGTAACCAACTTCTTGGATCTGAAGATTCATGAGGAACTTGGTGTTGTCCATTACGAAAATAAGGAAGAACAAGAGTGAACCAAAGACAAAGGCAACCTTTGAAAGCATCTGGACACCATGGTGCAAACCACTGAGCACAGACGCTGTCGCCATGGCAGTGATCCCCCAAATTGTCAAGTTCTGAATCAACGTAAGGCGGTCTTGGTCAATGTCTTGATCCACCCATCTCAAGAATTGGAAACCAGCCACAATGTTGATGGCTCCCAACCCAAGGCTAGTGCAGACACCAGCCACTGTCGTAACAATCGTAAATCCATCGACAACGTCTCCCATCCATCCCCATGTATACTCGCCAAGAATGGGGTAGAAGCAGCTGCGAAACGTCATTGGGAGACCGTAGCGATGACCAGCCAAGCCCTGAGCAATCGCCACGATGAGGTAGGGAGCCCAAGCAGTGAAGCCCCAGTTGGTCACTGTCATGTTGATGGCAAACTGATCAATCTCATCCTGGGTACGGTAGGCTTGTTGGGCCATATAGTGGCTGCCTTGATGCCACAAGGGTTCTGCAACACCGTAGACAAAGAGAGCAACTGCCACTCCAGCAGCAAATATCATCATGAAATAGGAACCAGTAGAGAACTCAGGTTCTTCGTCAGGAGTAGGGGCCAGCTTGATGTGGCCAAAGCGGTAGGCAATGAAAAGAAGGTAGAAAAAGAAGACGCATCGTGTACCAATGAAGAGCCAAGTGAATTTGAGTGTAATCTGAGATCTCCAAGCAGTGAGCTCCTCGGAACTTCCCTCCGGGTCAACTACTCGATTCATGTACACGTAGAAGAGAATGGTTAGCCTTGTTCTGCGCAACTAGTCATTGGCCTTGGTGAGAACTGACACTTACCGATACACCAGATAGCCAATCCCCACAAGAAGACAATGCCAATCAACGATACCAGGGGATTGAAAGCCACAGGCTCAGAGAGTCCAGGGATTCGTATGCTCCACTCACGGACGGGGTACTTTTCCAAATCAAAGTCTTCTTCGACGGCATGTTTCTTGGGTTGCTCATATTGCTTCGCATGCTCGAGAGCAGCATGCTTCTGAAGCTCGAGCGATCGCTCGTAGTCAAAAGTCATTGTCTTCCTCTCTTTTTGCTTCGATCTAAAAATACGATGGAGGAGAGCGAAGTTTCGATAGCGTGGAAGAGGCAAATGTGCCGGTCAAGAAAGGAAACGTGGATCAAGCTTGAGACGTTGGCCGACTATCAACTTTGAGAGGAGACAGGCGAGCGAGGGCTCACGTGCTGCGCAGTCTGTGGAGGTTCGGAATCGGAAGAAGGAGGAATGCTGATCGTACCAACTTGGAAAATATGAGACTAGAGAGAGAGAAGAGAGATCGAGAAGAGAGGCCCAAAGGAAAGATATCTTCTGGATCTCGGTTGTCAAACTCGAGCAAATTGTGAGAGCGTGTCCAGACCGCTGTTTTGAGTAATCGGATATGAGATCTGGAGGCTCTTTGGGGTGGAGGGTGGCTCGCGTGGTGTGATTTTAGGGCCTCCCGATCGTTTTCACACGAATGAGATCTCAGCTTTTGTAAGAGCTGTTTCGCACCTCTGACAAGCCGTTGGGATCTTCATTTTTGTAATTGGGACAATCTGATTGGCTACTCATACATGCTCCGAAAGTTGACACCAGGGATGGCAAAACCATCATACCACACCAATCACCCACCACGAAAAAGTGTTTGGAAAAGCTACTGCCGAAGCAGCCAATACAAAGAAAGATGAGGTTCAACAATGGAGAAAGATACCAGTACTGTGTAGGCGCTACTAGAGCGCAGTAGCTAATAGAATGATAGGTTAAGATTATGCCATGTCATGCATCCGTAGCATGTTGCAGTTGAACAAAACGAAGATCTTGCCGCATCAAAATCATGTCCAGAGAGGATAAAGGCATTGCTCAGTTGTTCAGTCCTTTAGTTTCAAGGAGAATGGCGAATCGCAACAGTGGCAATGGTGTCTTTGGCGCCGGTGTCCATGATCCTGATGGATTGCTTGGTTCTGATCCCCCTGAAATGCAGTTGGCGCAGCGTACGTATTCAGAAGATGAGGAAGAAGTGCAAATGGAAGATCGTAACAACCGTACTGTTTCCTATGCCACGATGAATCCAAATGCGGCCAACATGAATGAGCGCAATCAGCTTCTCCGTGAAGCCCAAGAACGTATGCGTCGTGACCCCAGTCTCTTCCAACGTGTATCGCAGATGGAGGAGGAGTTGTTGACCAGCAGCGATGAAGATGATGGAATGGGATTGTGCGAGAAACTGTACAAGATGAAGGACAACTCCCAAGCTGTTTTGCTCTCGATGGCCATTGGTATTAAAGCAGGAAATGCAGAAGGCAGTCGTTGGCTCGCTGATTTCGAAAATGATCCTATCTATAAGGATCTTGCGCAGAGGTCACCATTCAACCCCAAGGTCAAAGAACTTAAAGAGGAAATGAAGCGACGTTCCCGTGTTCTGAAGGTCACTTGTCGCATGCAATCGGCACTTAAACCTGCTTGCTATGAATGGCTCAAGAAGAATCCGATTGTGGACAGAAGGGATGTTGCTTTCCTACGAAAGGAGGAAGCAACCACTTATGCACTTCTGAACGCTCAAGCAGAAGAGATGCGAACAGCTGCCAGAGAGCGTCTTCAGAATGCAAACTGGAATTGTGCCCCTCCATTTCTTCGCTTGTACTGTGCCATGATCCATGATGAAGCACGTGAAGCTCTGTTGGCAGATGCTGCTGCCTGGACAAGGGAAGAATTGGATGCCCGCAATCACGAAGAACGCCCTGAGACTTATCCTGAGGTGGTCGCACGGCTCTACAATGACGAATCGGTTGTCTTCACTACAGAGGCCCTACCAGAGTTGCATGAGAGCTATGCAGAACCTATCACGTTGAAGTTCAGTGAAATGCCAGGTGGTGAGCTTTCTGCCGAAGAAGCCAAAACCAGGATTGGCGATGCAAGAGCTCGCGTAATCTCTGTGGGTACATTGAACCAGCATCTTATTACGTCACTTTCTATTGACACCCTTGCCGCTTACCGCTCACCCCTTTACTTATTGCATTTATTTCACAGATCATCCTTGATTGGGAGCTCAGCGGCAATGGCTTTGGTCAGCGCGAGGAAGGTCACGAAGACTGGGGCCATTTCAGTTCGGAGCATTACTCACTCTCCAATGGAGACAACCGAGCAAACTTCGTCAAGGTCCACAAAGGGCAGCGTTTCCATCATCTCTATTTGTGGCATCTAGCTGATACCATGGGTATCCTGTCCAATGTTTTGAATGTGCTCTCCAAGAATGTATCTGCCGATGGGAACAACACTCCAGCCACTGCTGTCACTCGTCGTCGCAGAAAGGCTGCAGAATTGAAGGAAGAAGAACGCCAACAGAAGAAGCATTTTCGCGAAATGGTTGGGACTTCTCTATCTGCCTTGGCCATCAGCAGCAAAGAGGAAAACATTCGCATTGAAGAAGACAAGATCGAGAAATATGTTTTTGCACAGCTTGAGGCACGCCTTGATGGAAGCCTCGCTGGTCGCAGAAAGTCCAGACTCTACGGGCAGATGATTGCTCACCACAAGAGGAAGAGCGCTCAGCTTGGGAAGGAGCTCAGGTCCATGAAGGAAAAGTATTATGCCCTTGCTGGCATCAATATTGACAGCGATGGAAACCAACAAGACCCAGAAGAAGAAGAGAATGTCGATGACTACAACGAGAACCAGATGCAGCAGCTTGAGCAGGACGAACCAGCCACCGATGACGAAGAAGAGGACATTGATGAGGACGATTGAAGAAGGCACGCACGGAACAACCAACAACTAACAGGAGCTACAACAAGAGTGACAACCCGTAGAGTAACAAGAGAAACAAGCTACAACTGCAAGGAGAAAGGGTAGATTAAGATTAAAATAGTCAAGTGAAAGTGATAACGCCACATTCGTCTCACCTCTACTGTCTAGAGCAGTGTTGTAGTCTACACTGATAAAAGGTGCAACGATTGCTTTCTAGATAATGCAGTGGTGAGCCATGTACTATTGGACATGAAAACGTGTCGGTTGTTACTGTGTGGGCTTATTTTATCTCTAGCTGTTCTGTTCCTTCTTGCTCCAGCGAGCAGGAATAGGGCGCTTCAAACCAAGACGCTCCACTTGACGAACCATCTTTTCACGGGGCTCAACAGGTACCTTGTTCACACGACGAAACTGCTGCCTCAATGATTCGCTGGTATCACCATGATGGTCGCCGCCACCAAGCAACTGGCCTGGCGAGGCCTCATTCATCTCCGTCCTCTCCAATGGAACAGCTCCCTGGCCACGGATCTCGGCTTCATCGGATGCAAGCATTTCGGGGACCTCTTCTTTCTTACCGGCCATTCTTTCGTTGATGCAGAAGTTGTGAAGACGGCACAGAGCAATGACCAAAGCACAAGACTTGGCGATACCCATGGATTGGGGCAATGCCTTTCGCAAGATGCCCCAGCGATTAACCAGCATTCCGAAGGCACACTCTATCCTGATGCGCAACTGCAAGCAAAAGAAGGAGTCAGTAAAAGAAGCGATGTTGCCTTGAGACATTCCGTGTACCTTACCTGAGAATGGTAGAAGTTGTAGTCATCCTTAATGCCACTCTTGACATTCTTGAACGGTGTGGCGAAGAATCCGTTGTTGATGTATGCAGCATCGCCAAAGATGCAAAGGCCGTCAGCAAGGAAGCCTTCCTCGGACAACATCTTGTTTAGAGGGGAAGTGGAGAATGCGAGAAAGTCTGATGTCGAGGCTGGATGCATGATACAAACGTCCACGAATCTGCCATCTGCATCACAGGTGCCTTGCATGTTAAGCCCATACTTGTGCTTCCTGCCACAATAGAACTTACGGGGACTGCATTGGGCTACCTCGCACTCGAAATCCGAAGGTTTCTCCATCCACACAAGCAAACCGTCGCATGCAGCCACACAGCAATCAAAATCGGCCTTGCTTTTCTTCCGAAATTCCCGTGCCATTTTCCTCTGCACTTCCTTGTCTCTGGGAAACTCAAAACTGAGAAGGTCGCAAGTGTTGATAGCATCAACAACTTTCCAAACACTGTTGAAGACCTCACTGTGGGAGATCCCATGGACGACAGAGATATCTTCTGGTCGACCACCTGCAAAATAGCGAATAGCGGCACTGAGACGAATTGCACTGCTGATGACACCATTCTTTGATCCCACACGTTGGCGAGGGCCACCATTCCTGCCTCTATTGGTGATCATGGGAGCCAACATACTATGAAGCTTCCAAAAGCCAGCTTCCCTCATTCTGTAGGCACGACGGGTATAATATGGGCCAAGCTCTCTCATGATTTTGCTTACAAGCTTTCGCTCGCGCTTCATGTGCCTGGCCTGTGGAGCCTTCCTTTTCCTGGTATTGGGATCAAAGAATTCATCATCATCAAGATCATCATCACTACCACTTCCATCACTAGAGCTATATCCAATCTCATCTGGGAGGGATGACAACAGAATTCCAGCAACAATGGTGGCCAGTTTCGCTTTGTTTTCAAAGGGGAAACCATCATTTGCGCAAGCAACAATATCAAACAACAAGAGCCATACGATGGCGTACAGGGCAAACCAGTGGCTTGCCTTCATGGTGGACGGGTAATGCAACAACAAACTAGTCTATTAAGTGCGACGAAAGCAACAACATGCAGCTAGATAGTTTCTTCTTTTGGTTGAAGGACGAAAGATCCTTGTTGATACTTTTGCCATGCTCGTCTGAGTTGATAGTGTTAAAGCTAGGGTAAGCGGTACTAAGAACTGGGCCCTCTGGCTAGAATTTGTCTGGAGGCAACTGTGCCAAAGGCCCAACCGACTTCTTAGGTTTATAAGATTTACCAAGAACTCGAGATAGCAGGGCTCCAGCCCCAAAAGCGGTCTGGACAAAGCCTGAGCCCAAGAGTTGTTTGGAAAGGTGTGGAAATGGTGGGACCTTGCGGGAAGCGAAACAGGCTTCCTTGGTGGATACCGGTGTGATAAGCGAATGTTCCGCCGAAGTGTGAACCAAAAACAGATGCGGCTTTGATAGGCTTAATTGGTAGAACAGGAGGATTTAACAGATATCGACCCCATCATGCACACACCTGTCCACAAGGTGCCATTCGAAAGCTCCACAGCTACACCGAAGACTTGGATAGTGGTTACCACTTGCAAAATCAAAGGGTGTGTATCTTGTTCTAGTAGCCGCACCTCTGCTTGACCACAAGTAGAGACATGAAGCGGAGCCTGTACTAGTACCTGTAAACAGAGGTAGACCTCGAATAGAATCGTAGCCTTTTGCTTCAGCCTGCTTCCGTGCGGTACCGGTATCGTGCCACGGGAATGATAGAGTTTATTCCTTGATGGACAGACGTTTAGTACCGATGCACAGCACCTTTCACGGCACCGGTAGGACTCGGGCTCAAGATCCATTCGTATGCCACTTCTGAGGATGACGACACAATTTCTTGTTGTCAAGATGCAGTAGCCATGTTGAGTTCTAGCAAAACGACCGCAAAAAGAATCCATCGTATGTATTTTTTAATTAAAGTTGCCTGGTACTGTGAGTCCCTAAAGATTTGTTGGTGCTTGCATCAAGCATCAATTGAAAGCTTTTTGGTCCCTTGTCAAGGTCCCTACCGGTACGGTCTTTCATTTGACTATACGTCTCTTTTATGGATGCCAAGGAGAGCAAAGGTAAGTAGCCTTCTGTTCCCAACAAAATGAGTTGTTGGGAAAGAACTTGGATTGCTTCCATCCATGAAAGAACTTACTTGCATTCATCCATTGCCTACCGTACAGGTACCGGTATCATACATATCTAATGCATAAGGTCGCTGTAGCAGTGGCAATGTATCTAATGTCTGAGTGCTTAGCTGATCAGTAACATAGCGGTACGAGTCGTGGGGGCATATCTAATTAGGCGTCGTCCATTCAAAAGTTCGCGCCGTCTTTCCAAATAAAAGAGTTCCTCTGTTTTGAACCTGTGATGCACATGCAATTGCCTCCATCTCAGCCAAATTTGGAATCTTCGACGCCAAATTTTTTGTCATTTTTCTCTTTGCTTCTTCTTTCTTGGGGCCGTTCATTTATTTGTTCTACTTCCGTATACTGTATTGACAAACAATGATGAGGTTCCTTGTGCGGTTGCCTCTTCTTCTACTACTATTACTAGTACTACATGTAGTGGTAGTAGATGGTTTTCCAGGAGGCGTGGGTGGCTGTGCTCCTGACCGAGCGGCGGTGGAGGGTTCTCACTTGGGTTCTTTGGCGCGACAGACGGGTCCAATTGGAGGAGTGCGTCTGCAACTAGTGTTGGACGATGAACATGTCTTTCGAGGAGCCACGACGATGGACTTTACCGTTGGACAAGATCACACATTGACACTCCGCAAAATGGACGACGCCGCCAAGTCGTTTCGTGGATTTTTGTTTCGCCTAGGGCCGCCACCCGACGAACCCGATATTGACACGACAGATGCCCTGACTCGAACGACCAGCAACACGACCGTGGCATTTGATCAGTGCATCATGGGTGAAGGCGTAGGAGGACTCGGTCATACCAACGCATTGCTCAAAGAATCGGTATCTGGAATTCTACGCATGGAACGCGTGGCACGAGGAATGCCACTGGATGTGACGGTTGTCATTCAAAACTACGGAGGATTGTCCGAATACTATTACCAACAATTCATTATCAATGCCGTACAGGGAGATACTGGACCGGGGGGACCTGTGCCTCCTCCCAGGATTCCCACCTTTCCACCCATTCTCACTGGCGGTGATTTTCCTCCCGCCGTGGCACCCATTTTACCTCCCAATGTCGCACCTATCCTGGCGCCAACAACAACACAACAACAACCACCAGAAGAAGAACCCACCGTATCGGAAGAATCACCTCCAATTCCACAACCCGTCCATCAGCAAAAAGCCGCCCCGGACGCGAAATGTGGATCTTTGGCGGCTGCCGGGGACCGTGGAGGTTCGGCCGCACAAGCCAAGGATTGCTCCCGCCACAGTGCCGATGGTGGAGGAGGATTTCGGCGTCGAAAACTAAAGGGGAGCACCTACTAGAAAGGGATAGTGCCAACCCATCTGTGTGTGCCATGAACCAAAACTGTGGCTGTGTTGTGTGTGTGTGTGTGTGCGTCAGACGCCCCATGTGATTGATGGAAATCATCCAAAAACAAAAAATCATAGAAAGAAACAGTAGAGCCTGGCCATTTTATTGGCCTACGCAGTACATGATGTGTATCCAAAGACTTAAACTGTAATAGAAAATGCAATGCACAACAAAAAGAAGTTTCATAAATAGTTATTGCGTTCCTCCATCAAAACTAACCAGCTAGCTAGTCTAGCTATTAATTAGTAGGTTCATTCTACGAATCCTTTAATCAATCAATAAGGCAAACCAATTCTACTACATGTATTTGGTTAATTTTCGAGCCCGGTGCAGCTACAGGATCAATGTATCAATCTATCTGTGCCAGCCATCATCGTCATTGGCATCCCCTTGACTGAAAAACTACGGTGGATGGAGTGACGAGTCTAATTGATCCGTACGGTAGACGGAGCGTATGATACTGGTAGCTCTCCCGTTTTATTAAGCTGAACATTCATGGTTAAAAGGACTGAATTGATCAAAATCACCAGTTTCGAAGTCGTTAAGGCATATAGCCTCCGGAGAAGGTCGGAATTCTGAACAGGTAGTCTAAGCATTAGATAGTTTGATTGTTGATGTCTAAGCATTGGAGCAACTGTCAGAAAGCTTCTCAGAAATACTTGTAACATTTAGGATTAGAGTCAGCTCTCCGTTTTGAATACTTAAATCACTTCGATTCGAACCTCACTTTCTTCTCGCCGAACTCAGTCGGGCTTTCATAAGTCTCAGAAATCTTTCGCCGAACTGCAGTCGTGGGAGCGAGCAGAATTACAAAAAGTGGCCGCAGTAAAAAACGAGAAAAATTAATGGCGACTACTTTTCACGTTAGTGGTTAGTGATGTCCTTGATCACTCGCTCGAGACCTCCATACTCCCAGTACAGTAATAGCGACCACACTCAGTCTTGAAGAGGCAGGCAGGAATTCCGTTCCGCCTCTGTATTTGACGGGATGTATCATACTCAAAATCTGAAGTATTGACGACTCTGAGTATTATTCCTGTAAAGATTGAAGAAGCAACACTGTAATTTATTATAACAATGATGATGCTACAACACATGCATCTGTTTACATTCCTGGCTTCCACCATGGCCCAGCGCATTGGTATAAAGATATTGATTGACAATGGAGTCTATGACTTTGTGCTTTTGAATTTGATCATTTTCTTTGGCATGCTTTTGGCATCTCTGACCTTCAAAGAAGCACGAGCTGTACTCTGGGAGTGCCTCAAGAACCCTCAACCGTTGGTCGGCAACGCCCGAATGCATCCTGCTGCGTGTTTTCTGGTGATTTCGGAAACGATTGGAGGTGTCTTGCTCGTTGTCACACTGTATTATCTCTCTGTGAGTGCTCAGTCAATCTTTTCCAGAGGAACGGAACTGGTGGGTGTCGTCATGTTAGAGCACATTCTGGCCACCAACTTGCGCCATCAACTTGCCTTGCATCACATGGTGACTGTCGTGATGGTGCTCCTGCTCGGATCCTTCTTCCTTCCTCTTGTGGCCAATAGATCGGATCTCTCTACAAACTTTTCGGCAGTTGGCATTGTCTTGGTCATGATCCGCTCCCTCCTCATGGCACTGCAAACCGTTTGTGAGCACATTTCACTTCATAACTATGCCTTTCCTCCCGGTGTCATTCTGCTGATTGAAGCTGCTGGGGGCATGGCTTTGACACTGACATTGGTTTTGCCCTTGTCAATACTTTGGGATCCTTCGGGCACACTCACAGCTATCACAGATTCCTTGCGTGTCATTGCTGAGGAGTACTGGCTCTTGGGCATCGCTTGCTCCATGATTTTCATCTGCGGGTATTCCAACTGGGCTCGCTTAAATGTCATAGATCGATTGTCAGCATTTGCCTCTGCATTGGTATCGGCACTCCTTCCGGGTTGTGTGTTTGTAGTGAGTCTTGTCCTATACTATAGTTTTGGAGTAGGGGCTCATGGTGCTGTCGTCATCGGAGAACCATTTGACCTCTACCCGTCTCTATGGATGATTGGGTGCTTCTCGGTAACACTTTTAGGGAATGTGCTGTATTACGTTTGGATGCCACGAATGTCCCAATTGTACTTGGAAGGATTGAAGAGAGTTTCTTTGGGTGACGAGGACAGGGAGTTGTCCAACCGTCTTGACAAGATTTGTGCCAGTGGGAAACAGTACCAGCGCAGTGCCATCGGTTGCTACGCTCTGGATGAGAGTGACTATGACCCCCATGGACCCGTCTTTCCACTCTTCCGGTATGTGGTGGAGCAGTACCACGAAACCTCACTGGAAGAGTCCACAGACGTGGAATCTCCATTTGATCCAAAGCGCCATCACCTGCCTACCCGGGAAGAATGTGGCAAGTTGTTTCCGGGACAAGATGTTGAAGATTGGAGTCATGTGGTTTCCTTACGAGTCCGTGTTGCCAGGAACATTTCTGGCTTTGCGTTTGTACCATCTATAGACTCTTCCACACGGAGAGCAATTGCCACGAAGGTTCGCAAGGCTCTCACCGTGGACACTGGTTGGGTCTTTGAAGACTATGCTGATCGTTGCGATCTTTGGCCTGTCCGGGAGTTCCGTGTCATGCGTGCTGCTGGTATCCTAGAGGATTGGCCAACAGACCGTTTTGTGGCCACCAAGATGTACAACAAGAATGTTGTGGTAACAGTCTTGGTCAATGAAGAAGACCATCTCCGCATCGTAGTTACAGTGAACGACCCAACTTCATTGGAAGATGTTTCTTCCGCCATTGCAGCCCTCTCCAAAACTGAAGAAATGCTGCAAGAAAACCTGGGACTTTCATACAGTCACAACCCAGTCTTTGGTTTCTTGGCGTCCTGCCCTACGAATGTGGGCACTGGATTCAAGATTAGCATCCGCACCTATGGAAAGCAAATCAATCAAGCATCCGAGGTTCGCCTCAACAAGACAGTCCAGGAGATTGTGTGCGAGCACCTTTCCATTGCCAGGGAGTCCAGTTTGGTTGGTAAAGATGGCTCGTCCGAGCCTCTTTATTCTCCTGGTTTGGATTACACAGAGGATACGACGGATTCCGGGACAAACTCCAATGGACAACAAAAAGAATTTGATGGCGTCTCATTTTTTCCTCTGTCAAAACTAGCTGGCTAGGTAGTTGCTTCCTTGAATTTGGTTTGATTCTCGAGCCCAGTGCAGCTATCCGAGCGAGCCATCATTGCCATTGGCGTCAAATCTAAAAAATATGGATTCCGGCGATTTTTGTATTGGCTGGAAGCTAGCTAGAGCCTTTTAGCTAGCCAGCTTTGGATGAAGACTAGAGCACTGGAGTACCCATCCCAAGGCTTCGGCTGCAGCGCAGGAGCGCTCGTCCACTGGCACCATACCGTATCCGCTGTAAGATATTTTTGTTTCCTTGGAGCACCCATCCCAAAGCGTCAAAGGAAAATTTCGTTTTCAGCAGTCGGACCAGTCCACACAGCAAGCAAGTACCGGTAGATCATTGTCGCTTGTTGTTTCTGTACGGTAGTAGCAGTACATGTAGTAGCAGCTTTGTTAAAATAATTGTGCAGTAGCAGAGATAAGACGGGAGATCGTTGGAAGGGTGCAGATGAGCTTCAATAAAGATACTAACGAATCCAGGAATAGCTCCTCCCCCTTCAAGAAGCATCTTTCCTCCGGCTCATAGAAATACTCTTAGTTTTGTTTTTCTTTCTCAACACATCTAGATTCCTCGGCTTTGGGCTGAGAAAGAAGTATCGGAAGAACAGCCTGGCATCGATCAGGCATAATGACTGAGTGACTCGTCACTCAGTGACTGCAGTCGAGACACTCAGACACGTGGCCAGCAGTACTGTACCGTTACCGTACCGGTACCGTTATGCCATACTGTAAACTGAGTAGTGGAGCTGTACCGGTATCGGTGGAGGAAGACAAGAAGTTTGGCCGTCTGCTCTCCCAATGTTCCCCATGCCAAAATCCTGGCATCGGTGCTGTTGACAGCTACTAGAGTCCAGTCTAACTAAAAAAGGCGGAGAAGTGCTTGGCTTCCTTCCGCAAAATCTCCTTACTATTGTAATCGATTGAGGAGTGACATATTTATTTATCATTGAGGAGTGACATTCCTCCCGCACGGAAAGCACTAGGCAAATCGTCATTCCAAAGTAGCTAGCTAGCTAGGTAGTAGGTAGCCTTGGACAATACAACAAAGAACGTGCACAAGCTGAAAGAAAGAAAGAAACAATCAATCATCCTATGCGAGCTTTCAACGAGGAACATCAAGATGTGCAAGGCGCATCGGAAGATTGTCGTCCCGCAAATTTCTGCACGATGCGGCGAGGGCAAGGAAACGACTTGGAAGCTCGTACCGCCACCGAAGACGATCTTAGTGACGATGATTCGTCCGAAGAAGAGCAATCAAGCCAGGAAGGAGCGTTTGATGAGGACGACGACTTGGAGGGACAGTACGACCAAAACAGCTTTTGCAGTGACGATGATGGCAAGGATGGCATGATCGATCATAGCGGGAGGGAGCACGCCATCCGCACAACTATAGTGGACCTTATCAAGGAGAAGTTCACGAATGCCGGATTCCAGCAATTCTTGGCCATGTTGGCTTGGTGCATCAAATGCATCATCAGCAAGGCTGGTAGGAGTGGAGGAGATACCGATGAGAAGTTGGAAGTTGTCATGGAAGTTGTGGATTCCATACAGGTGGACCATGGCGGTCATCACTTGCTGGCCCAACTGGGTCAAAGCACTCAAAGCCTCGCAGGCGGCGGAACCGCGTCTTCCGGTGCTAGCAGTGCGGGTGGTGCCGCAGGTGGCGCCGGTGCTGGATCCGCACAGACATCCGCGGCAGTAGTGAGCCAAATGGCAACGCAGGCAGCGGCAAGTGCAGCTGGTGCTTCCTCCACAGCAGTCACCTCCACAGGTATGTATGTCATCGGATTGAAAGACAGACAGACCGAAAAGAACTGTCTCTTCATGCCCGTGCTTCAGTGATTTGTCTGTCTTGGTCGTGGCTCCCTTTCGCACAATTCCTCATGCATGCATTTCATTCCATTCCATTCCTTCTCATACGGTATGTTCTTCTGCTCTGCAGCGGCTGCCATCACAACTACTATAGCTGGTGCCGTGGCATCCGTAGGAGTTGCTTCTCAGGTTGGTATGACTGTGGGCATTGCTGCTGTTGCGGCAACAGCAATGAGCGGTGGTGTGGTGGGGATTCATAACACCACCAGCGCTAATGTGACCACTGCGACGGCAGATTTATTTGTACCCCCCACTTGCTCATTTGCCTCACAACTCAAGAGAGGCGTTGTGGAATTGACAATCCAAGGCCTGTCAGAGGATGCCTTATCACAACATCAAGAAAGCCTAGAAGTGTAAGCATCATCTGATTTCATGAGACTTTGGTTGGCAGGTCTGTGCCCACGCTGCTCATGACGAATCCTTTTGTTCTTCATTTTGTTGATATCCCTGGCAAATCTAGACTCTTTCGAGATCTCTACAACAACATTACAGGCATGTGTTTGGATCCTTTCTCCAGGGTCCTACATAGTGCAGAACTACAAAGTTGGAGCGCAGAAGACAGGGTAGTTTTCTTGGAAGACCTTATGCCAGACTTGGCAAATGGGACAGCCACCAACAAAACAACACCAACTCCACTGATTGTCCCGGTCGTGACCACAACGTGGGTTGCAACAGTGGCATGTGATGGCTGTCCAGATCATGAGCCGCTGTTCGAACTTCCAATGGAGGTTGAGGCTAGTTTGGGAAGCATGAATAGCAGCGTTGTTGGTATGAACCACAATAATGTAACCCTGCTTCAAGCAAACAGTACCAGTACCACCTCGAGTAGTGGCAACAGCAGCAGCGTCAGCAATTCATCCAAGTTGTCTGGGCGACACCTGCAGATGCAAGCATACATTGACATGACCCAGTTTCTCCATTTGCTTGCTGCCTCCTTCAGCTACAAGGTTGACTTGGAACTGTCCGAGGCTTTTACAAGCCGCAATGGTGGATACGAGTCATCTGCAGGTCCCGAACAGCTGGACACCACCGGTTCCGTGCAGGTTATCTTTGCTGCTAGCATGGCAGCATCACTCGATGGAGATGCAGGTGATCTTCCTAGAGAAGTGGTTCTTGCTGTTGACCAAGAAGCAATACAGTCATATATTGAGGCTGTCGTCGCAAACGGAGGCATCTTTATGGCTCCTTTCATATCTGATGACCTATCAACACTCTCTCTGTGCGTGTCACATGAACAACAAGAAACACCTGAAGATCAGGAGCTGTGCAAAATGCTGCGGAAACTCTTCACGTCTGGAAACAGTAAAGAAGGAGTAACAATTGATTATGATGCTTTGGCGGCCTGCCTTGAGACCCCAGCTGATTGGTCCTGTCAAAGAGTTTTGGCAGCCGCTCTTGAAGCCATTTCCACTGCGAGAGCCAATGGAATCATGGACAAATCCTTTGAAGGTTTTGATAGCTCTGACACTGCCGGATTTAAAATCATTATCATTGAAACAGCAGAAACTTCCAGCCCTGTTGCAGAGCCGTCCTCCGCACCCTCCGAGGCTCCGTCTTTGGCACCAACTGAAACCCCGTCTTTGGCACCCAGTGAAACTCCGTCTTTGGCACCCAGTGAAACCCCGTCCTCAGCTCCCTCTGAAACCCCGTCCTCAGCTCCCTCTGAAGTTACAGCCAGCCCTTCTACAGGTCCCTCCCAACCACTCGACGAAGGAACGAGCCATGCATATGAACGTGATTGGAAACAATTTTGGTTGCCGTTTTTCTGACGAAGCGGAGACCCCCTCTGGCCGATACAGCAGCAGGTTATAAAGAAGGCTTCGTGGGTCTCGATCTTTAGGCAGATCACGTCGAACCAGCACCCCCTCCCCCGCTCGAGCGTTTGAGATTGCGTCGTACGGGACTTGGTATCGTAGCTTCCAAGAGGCTTCGAACACCTCCATTCATCCGTCCATCGCCTTTCGCAAGCAGGGCAGTGGCGAGATTGATACAATGCGCATCCTCTGACTGCAAGGCTTGCGGACGAGCTTCTCCTCTGCAAATTCCGCGCTGCTACACCAGGCGCAGCTTTTGGGTGCATTACACGAATAAGCGAAGCCTCGAGTACGAGACTGCACTGCAGTTGAAAGAGTGGGTAGCTACATTCAGAAAAGACGCGATGCTGTATCCAGTAACAGCGCGAGGGGAAAATGTGGATGTAACGCAGCGTTGTGTGCGACGCTTGCTTTGGTAGTGTTCTTTAGCAGTGTCATCTGGACTAGCTAGCTAGGACGGAGCCCACGGCTTGTAGTGCTTGTTTTTGGTCTTCACAGCTCGATCGGGGTTCCGGCGAGGTGCTTGAGGGTTAAGAACGTTGGAGTATGAAGAATCGGTTCCGGCGTGCCACTGATGGAGATATCGACGTGTTTCGGCCGCCCATGGTAATTACCTTCGCACCCTTCAAACTCACCGCAACAGACTCAAGCAACTCAAGACACCAGCAACTCAACTTCTCATTCACGTTCTTGTAGAGCTAGTAATTCTTGGATTTCCCTTTCTATGAGGGCGCAGCTTGTAGGGAATCGGTGTACTAGTAAACTAGAGCAGATCTTAGAGAAGCAAACGAAGGAAACCTGCAAATAATTCTAGTACCATAGTTGGAAGAACACTATAGGCCGGCGCTGGGAGGTTCAGCATGGGGAGTGTGGAACAGGCATGAAAGAAGATTATGATGAGGGGAAGAGGAGGATGAGATGACGTACAATCTAGCTATGGTCGCTTGATGGTACCTCTGTGCTGCTCACTGTTGGGTAGGTGTGTTGTCGGTTCCTTCCCGTGATGTAATCTGTTGGTGTGTGTCTCTGTTGGCTGTTTTGGTTAGTGTTGGTGGTATTGCAATTTGCTTGCAGTCTTTTATGAGGAGCTCACCATTATTAGTAGTCCATGATCAGTAGTGGGTGGCTGGCCATTTGCCAGCAATCCACACCCTGCCCTGTGGTCTCGTAGGAGTCGTTCTTTTGCAGTGATTGTCTTT